AGTTTTATAGGAGGAGGTTATCTATATTGATATGTTATGAGTTTTTTTATATATATTTATGGTGTCTTCATAATATTTTTTATATTCTTGACGTATTTTAATGGAAGTTATGTAATTTATGTATATTTGTGTATTGGTTATCGGTTTTGTTTCGTTCTTTTGTTGAGTTTTGGCAAGATTTGTGCTTTTATAATTTTTTTATTTTTTTGTATTTTTTATTTATATAAAAATTCATTTAATTTCACACAATTTCCTTTGTGTTGATTTTTTTATTTTAATTTACAGGAATGCTTAAAGGGTATCACTAACCTCTTACATATATACGAAAACAAAATAATTAGTTTCCTCAAAAAACTTTGTAAGGGGATTTTTTTTTTGTTATTTTTAATTTTTATATCAATATATTTACATATTTTTAAAGAAAAAAATTAACAAAAAAATTTTAATTAATTTTCTAAACAATTTTTTTCCTATCATAATTTTGGTTTTTTCTTGGATTCCCTTATATTTATTTATTATTTATATTATTTTTATTTATGTACTTAATATATAAAATTGTCTTTTTTATTTTACTTTGTTTTTAATATAAATATTTAATATTTACATTAATATTTATATAGGTATATGCTTTTTTGTGCTGTTGTAACTAAAGTCTTTTTATATAGTTTTTTTTTTCTTCTGATACTATACACATTTCTGTATAATAAAAATTGAATTAAAAAAGAACACATATTTAATGTTATAAAGTTTGGCAGAGAAAAAAATATATATTTATAGTTTTTGGATATTAAAAAAATAATAATAATAAAAGAAATAAAATAACGAACGAAAATATTCAATTTGACAAACAAATCGGCAATTTCGATAATCCATTTAATTAATTTTCATTTAGTACAATGGACCATATACGTGTTGTCGTTACTTATACGACCTAAGACCTTTGAAATTAAACTAAGGGAATGGTTGGGCAGTAAAAGATTTTTTTTTTTCAATATTTTTATTAGACAATATAAAATAAGCAAAAGAAAGGAATATTTTGACAAACTTCTAGACAAAAAATTGCTTAATTTTCGTTCTCATAGTACTATATGCCGTATGAGTGATGACGTTACTTATACGACTAAAAATCCTTTAACAAATGAGGTACATTATTTAGGAAGAAGGATTATGTCAAGAAAGTTTTAGAATAGACGAAGGAATAATCATTGCATGGGTTCCAAATAAATATCAAACATAAATGTTCCTTTCGAAAACCCAAGCGATCTCAAGTTGATTATTTTAATAGGACATAATTCTCATCGTACTATATGCCGTCTTAGTGTTGTCGTTACTTATACGACTAAAAATCCTTTAACAAATGAAGACCCAAAATGCTTCGTCTAAAGGGGTATATTTTTTAGGAGGAAGGATTGTGTCAAGAAGGTTTTAGAATAGAAGAAGGAATAATCATTGCATGGGTTTTAAATAAATATCAAACATAAATGTTTCTTTCGAAAATACCAGCGATCTCAAGGAGGTTATTTTAATAGGACATCATTTTTGAGGAATTGGAATAAACGCCAAATATTCCATTGAAAATTTCCTATAAGACCTAGGTATTTTATGCCCTCTACATGTTCATATTTACAGTAATATATTGAATGTCTGTTGGGGGTACTAGTGTGCGTATTAGCGTTGTCGCAATGTATACGCCACCTGGAACTTATTCTTCTTTTGTTTGCCATTACGTATTTGGGTATTTTCAGAAATAAAGTCTGAAAAATCGTACAGAAAAAAATCTCTCTCTCTCTAATATACCTTTTATTCACATATTGGTATGTACACCTGGGGGTATAACTGTTGTCAAGACGTATACGACACATGATCTAGATTGCAATTTGTAATTTTTGAGCAATGGAGTTCAGAGGATTTGAAGTCAATTTTTTTGATATTCTAAAACCACTTACACAATTACCAACATTCAGGATTTTGGAGGCTAGCGTTCAGCATTAAAAGTCCGTTCAGAGACAATGGTGGCGAATTATTGTTGTTGTTACGTATACGACTAAAACGAGGATCTTTCTATTGAGGAACGGCGGCGAATTCTATTTTATCAAATGCTAGCCACTTAAATCTATTCCAGTCTCACAGATCGCTATTTATTCTACAAAAAAAAAAATCGTAGAATTACAGAAAAAAATCGTATGGCAGCAGAAACATTTTTTCCAACAGAAAAACAAGTTTTTTTCTATTGAAAAAATTTTATATGTATCCAGGACAAATATTTTCCCCATACAAACATTTTAATAGGCTACCAGTACCATTTTTTCTTTAAATAAATTGTCTGGGCTGAGAGAGTAGCTACACAATTGTAATTTCTTATTTCGAACATGGGTGCGGATTAGTGCTGACGTATATGCTCCCTCAACGAGTACTAAGGAAGCTACGAAATAAGGATTCGTTCTAGCCCTTTTTTTATATAAATTTTTTTTTCTAGGCTGAGAGAGTATCAGTTTTTAAAGGTATACAATTGTAAAATCGATGGCCACCAGACTAGGGTGGTAAAGTTTCAGTTTAGAGAGAATGGTGGCGGATTAGTGCTGTCGCTACGTATACGTTGCTTCAATGATAACTGAGAAAACTGTGTAATGAGGATCTTTCCAATGACAAACGACGGCGAATTATTTTTTATCAAATGCTAGTCACTTAAAACTATTCCAGCCCCACAGATCGATATTTATGTCTACTAACACAAATCGCAGATGGCAGCAGAACCATTTTTTTCTTTTAAAAAAATTGTGTCCGGGACAATTTTTTTCCTATACAATGGTACCCACAGGTACCCATTTTTCTATAAATAAACTGTCTAGGCTGAGGAAGTATCCGTTTTTAAAGATATACAATTGTAATTTCTTATTGAGAACATGGGTGCGGATTAATGCTGCCGTTACGTATCCGCTCCCACAATGATTACTGAGGAATCTACGAAATAAGGATCCTTTCTAGACGTTTTATTCTATAGAAAAATTGTCTATGCTGAGAGAGTATCAGTTTTAAACAGTACACAATTGAACTTTTTTTATTGAGAACATGGGTGCGGATTAGTGCTGCGGTTACGCATACGCTCCCTTAATGATTATTAAGGAAACTACGCCAGTTTCCCAAAACTGTTCAAGCACCGAAGAATCATAAAGCGCAATATTTTCTACAGAAAATAATTCACAAAAAAGATAATAAGTAGCAGAACTATACTTTTCCAATAGAAAAAATATCATGACTATTTTTATTTGAAAGGAAATATTTTGTAGGCCACAAGGGCTAATTTGTTTTCTTTATAGAAAACAATTTTGTCTCCAGCATTCAAACCGAAATTAATAGTTACATAGTTAAATTAAAAAATTGCACCATGGCGTATTACTATTGTCCAAACGTATACGTCACACGGGACAATATTTGATTTAATTAGATTTATATTGGTTTGGGAAAGGGTAAATTGAATATTGTAATTGGAAAAAAGATACTTCAAAGATCATAAGCAGCTGAACTACTTTTTTTCAATAGAAAAAATATTGGGACTATTTTTATTTAAAAGGCAATATTTTATTGGCTACAAGGACTAATTTAAAGAATATTTGTAATTAGAAATAAAGGAAACTTCAAAGATCATAAGCAGCTGAACTATTTATTGTTTATAGGCTACAAGGACTATTTTTTATAGCCAACATTTTGTCTTCAGAATTCAAACTGAAATTAATAGCTACAAAGTTATGGTAAAAAAGTGCACCATGGCGTATTGCTATTGTCCAAACGTATACGTCACACGGGACAATATTTGATTTAATTGAATTGACCTTGGTTTCGGAAAGAGTAAATAGAATATTTTTAATTGGAAAGTAATGTAGATAAAAAGTTTCAAAGTACAGCATGGCGTATAGATATTGTCCAAACGTATACGTCACACGGGACAATATTTGAATTAATTTAATTCACAGTGATTTTGGAAATTGTAAACTGAATATTTTTAATTGGAATCTAATGTAGAAGTATACGTTAGATATTGAGGTATGTCAATAGTTTTACGGCTCTTTTATCATAAAATATATATTTTTGTCGAATATATTTTAAGATATGGCGTATGAAAAATTATCCCAAATGAAGCATTTGTTACAATACACCGGGCGTATTGATGTTGTCGAGACGTATACGAAACGGTGGGCAATATTTAATTTAATTTGTATTGCTTTCGAAAGATCTATACTTCTTGTGCGAGTAGAGCATTGATAATTTGCAAAATATAAAAAATGCATGACGATTCCTATTGAAATTGCGCCTAAAAGTATACTCAAAAATGTGTTTGTTTCTAACGAACGCCAGGACGTATTGCTGTTGTCAAAACTTATACGGCACAAGGGACAATTTAATTTTAGGCTTTCAAAATTGAATTTTTTTGAAACAATGAAGTTTTTGGTCATCATAGATTTTTTCAAATATGATTTTAGATTTCTAGGGGTAGTACTAATCCGTATAATGTGGAAATATTTAAAATTAGCAATCTATCGAAATTGCCTTTGTTTGTCATCACTTTATAATAGAATATTGCAAAGAGTATTGGGAAGATTTTTTCCCATTTCTTTGTAGAAAATTAAAAAAAAAATCCTAACTAAAAATTTATTCAAATTAAAAATAAAATTCCTTTCATTCAAAAACAAAACAAATTTAACTAAAAAAAAATCACTAAACTCTAACTTATATATTATTAAAATTATATTTTCACTTTTACTACGGGGACTCACATTTTGTTTTCTCATAGTTTTACTTCCTACTTTTTACTACAAACAGTCGTCATTCATTTATAGCTTTAGGCTTTTCTTTTTTTTCTTTTCTATACAAAAAGAAAAATCCTTTGTCTTTTGTTTTTCCTTTGTTTACAAAATTTCCTTTGAAAATTATTGCACATTTGTGTATATATTTGTTTTTGTGATTATTGTTGTCGTTTGTAATGGTTGCGTTTCCATTTGCGGGTTTTCAATTTTTGCTATTTCCATTGGCCATAGTTACTATTGTGCTGCTGCATCAGTGAGGTTGGTATAAATTGGGTACCATTCCCAAAAAAGTAACCTCACAATTTCGATGGGTCGTAATTTTCCAAACGCCACTGTTGACGCAGCTGGCCACCATTACACTCTTCCATAACGATTTTATCACGTTTTTCATTAATCGCCAAACACTTGTCCGATGAGCCGTGGCGGATTTGTTTTGTTTCATTGTTGAATGTCCAGAACTGGAAAAAGGGAAGAAAAAAGAGGAACAGAAAAAATTATTTAATTTTAAATTTAAAAAGTTTTTGGTTAGGTTTAAAAATATGGAAATTTGTCAAGTTTCTGTGGTGCACCATGGCGTATTGCTGTTGTCAACACGTATACGCCATATTGCCCATATAAAATTTAATTTTATTTCCATTTGCCTTTGAAGACATAGACTGATTATGAAAAATTCCAAATTCGTCGCAACAGCCGCTACTTTCTTTTTCAGGACTGCATTTTTGTTAAATCACAGACCTGGAAAACTGGTTTTTTTCCATAGTACTTTTTTCCATAGAAACAAATTAGCAGTTCTCCAAGACTTACTTTTCTCCATAGAAAAAATCCTGATGGATGTATTTTTTAAAATGTATTCTTAAAGAATTTCCTTTCAAAATAAACTCTCCATCGTTTTCCCATTCCTCCACCCCCATAATATCCCCATTCCTTTATATAAAATTGTGGCAACTAGAAATCTCTGTCTTTAATAACTTATTTCCTCTGACAATTATTGCCAAACAAGCCACATCCTTCACACCATCCTTCCCCTTTGTTTTGTGTGTGTGTTTTTTTACATCCTGCCAAAGCGTAACAAAACATATTTACGCTCTCCCGCTGTTCCATACCCATATAAACTAATAATCTAAGGAGACAGAACAGCCTTGAGGAAATTTATTTTTAATATTTCTAATCATAATTCATACAACAACAACAACCACAGATAAACGAACACTTATGTGTGTGAGTCTACAGAGGAAATACAAGAGTGGGAGCACGAGCTATCTATTGTCGGATGTCCTTGGGGTAGCATATAAAATACACACGTAGACACACACACACCCACTTAAGTGTTCAGGATCTATGTGTGCCCATGCAGAGATTTACAAGAATATGTTTGTTCAAACGTCTATTGTAATAGTCGACATTCATTATCCTTTTGCTTTAATGCTTTGCTTTGGAGTTCTCTTCTGGTGTTTTTTTCGTGTGGTTTATTGTTTTGCGATACAATGTTTGCCAGGTTAGATTAGGATGGGGTGATTAGATAAGGGGACATACCCAGATATAAATAACTTTTCTATAGTCTATGAAGTGCTCGTTGGCGTATGAGTGTTGCCGTAACATATACGACACTAAGGACGAACTTAACTTAATTTTAATAAGAAAAATTTAGGAAACAGCAAAAAGATGGCAGGAATACGGGACAAAAATCGCAGGACTTTGTCTTTGTCTTATTTTCCTGTAAAAGAGTTCGCAAAACTGCTTTCTTTTTATACAAGAAACTTCGCAGACCCTTAGCACAGCTTTTTTTGGCATAGAAAACCATTTGGAGGATCTTTGGAATGCTTTTTCTATAGAAAAAAATTTGCAGGACCTTAAGACTACTTTTTTCTACGAAAAAAATCGCGGGACCGCAGATCTGCTTTTCCAAAGGAAAAAATCGCAGAAACTCAGTTCTGCTTGTTTTTACCAAAAATATTTTTACAGAAACGAAAGTCCCGAGGTCCTGCGAATTTTTTCAATAGAAAAAACTGTCCTGAAAGTCTCTGCAAAAAAATCGCAGACTCTCAGGACTGCCTTTTTTTCTACAGAAAAAAATCGTAGACTCTTAGGACAGTTTTTTCTATAGGAAAAAATCGCCGGACTGCCTTTTTTCTACAGAAAAAAAATCGTAGACTCTCAGGACAGTTAGTTCTATAGAAATAGTTCGCAGGACCTCTGGATTGCTTTATTTCTATAAAAAATATTTGGAGGACCTCAGGACAGTTTTTATAAAAAAACATAGTACCACAGGACTTTTTTATAGAAAAAAATCGTAGTACCTCAGTTCTGTTCTATTTTATAGAAAACTATTTTGCAGGTTCATGATCACATGTTTTTTATAAATCAAAAATCGATGGCCAGCAGACAAGACTGATAAAGTGTCAGTTTTTAAACGTACTCAATGTTTTTTTTTTCTTTTAAAGGCAATGGTGGCGGATAAGTGTTACCGCTACGTATACGTTTCATCATTGACAAAATTCAAAACACCAGAAACCATTTTTTCTTATACAAACATTTTTGTAGACCTCTGGCTTAATTTTTTGTTCTATAGACAAATTCTCTAAGAAAGTATCAATTCAGAATTCTCATTCCGTATTGAGAACATGGGTACGGATTAGTGCTTTCGTTATGTATACGCTCCCTTAATGATAAGAGGAAACTATTCATTAATGATTCGTTCTATAAAAAATCACTATGGACTTCGAATTTCATTAAACATAAAAAAACATAGTACCACAGACTTTTTTATAGAAAAAAGTCGTAGTGCCTCAGTTCTGTTCTATTTTATAGAAAACTATTTTGCAGGTTCATGATCACATGTTTTTTCTAAATCAAAAATCGATGGCCAGCAGACAAGACTGATAACACTGTGCAGCACTAAAATCTTGAACCAATCGAGACCACCAAAATCTTGAAGCTTGTGATGGTGGAAGAAAATCCCTAGCTGGGTTTTGCATTATTAGCTAAGGTTTTCTTTTAAATTAATTTTTAATATATTCGACTGGAGGTGGATTTTAACAATTTTCGAATAATACGTACTTATTATTGAGTCTATATTTCGTGAACTATTCGAAATATTGCTTTTCTCTTTTAAGCAATATTCTTCCTCTTAATTAGAACTAAAAATTTGTTCTTGAGATAAAATCAATAAAACATCACCATCATACTGAAAATAGCACAACTGCAAAAAAAATTAAAATTTCGACATACTTTTTCCATGTTTTTTCACACTTATTTCAGAAACTGCTACTGACTCGACCAAACAATATATGACAAGAAGATAGCCAATAGCAAATCAAACAACTCTTCTTAAAACCCCGATTTCATTGGTTGACTCCTTCACATAGTTATAGCCTCACAAATTCATCAAAATGAACCAAAAAAAATCACTCCCAATAGTATGTTTATAGAAATAAAAATTGCTATGCTTTTTCAATAAATAGGTACAAAATGAAAGTAAAAATTAAAATGTTTGGGCCCTTTGGTTTTTTTCGAAGACATGTCGCTGCCATATGATATTTTCAGTATGATGGTGATGTTTTATTGATTTTATCTCAAGAAAAAATTTTTAGATCTAATTAAGAGGAAGAATATTGCTTAAGAGAGAAAAGCAATATTTCGAATAGTTCACGAGATATAGACTCAATATATTAAAAATTAATTTAAAAGAAAACCTTAGCTAATAATGCAAAACCCAGCTAGGGATTTTCTTCCACCATCACAAGCTTCAAGATTTTGGGGGTCTCGATTGGTTCAAGATTTTAAAGTTGAAAAATGTGTCACTGTGTAAAGTGTCAGTTTTTAAACGTACTCAATGTTTTTTTCTTTTAAAGGCAATGGTGGCGGATAAGTGTTACCGCTACGTATACGTTTCCTCATTGACAAAATTCAAACCACCAGTAACCATTTTTTCTTATACAAACATTTTTGTAGACCTCTGGCTTAATCCTTTGTTCTATAGAAAAATTCTCTGAGAAAGTATCAATTCAGAATTCTCATTCCGTATTGAGAACATGGGTACGGATTAGTGCTTTCGTTATGTATACGCTCCCTTAATGATAAGAGGAAACTATTCATTAATGATTCGTTCTATAAAAAATCACTATGGACTTCGAATTTCATTAAACATAAAAAAACATAGTACCACAGACTTTTTTATAGAAAAAAGTCGTAGTGCCTCAGTTCTGTTCTATTTTATAGAAAACTATTTTGCAGGTTCATGATCACATGTTTTTTCTAAATCAAAAATCGATGGCCAGCAGACAAGACTGATAAAGTGTCAGTTTTTAAACGTACTCAATGTTTTTTTCTTTTAAAGGCAATGGTGGCGGATAAGTGTTACCGCTACGTATACGTTTCCCCATTGACAAAATTCAAACCACCAGTAACCATTTTTTCTTATACAAACATTTTTGTAGACCTCTGGCTTAATCCTTTGTTCTATAGAAAAATTCTCTGAGAAAGTATCAATTCAGAATTCTCATTTCTTATTGAGAACATGGGTACGGATTAGTGCTGTCGTTATGTATACGCTCCCTTAATGATAAAAGGAAACTATTCATTAATGATCATAAAATCACTATGGACTTCGAATTTCATTCTATGAACAAATTTTGACTGCTCCAAAAGGCTGCTTTTGTCCTACATATCGAAATTTTATTTACAGAACCACAGAAAACAATTGTAAGGCAGCAGAAGTATTTTTTTTTGAAGGCCCATTTTTTTCTGTTGAAAAAGAAAGATAGGCCTACAAGAAGTTTGTAGGCCACCGATGCCATTTTTTAAAAGAAAAAAATGTATAGGCTGAGAACGTATCAATTTTTAAAGGCAAACATCGGTATTTTTTATTCAGATATTTTATTGAGGGTGCGGATTAGTACTGTCGTTACGTATGCGCTCACTCAATAATAACCAAAATACTATGTAGTAAGGGTTCATTCCATTGAAAATTAGTGCCGGCGATTGTGCATTTTTCCTGTTAAAAAGGTATATCACTTTCCCAAAACTATCCCAGTCCCAAAGAACAACAGATCGCCATATTTTCTACAGAATAAAATTTGCAGAAAAAATTATAAGCAGCAGAACTATTTTTTTTTTCAATAGAAAATATTTTGTAGTCCGCAGAATATTTTTTTACTGGAAAATATTTTGTCGGTCTCCTGTACTAATTTTTATACCCTTCACCACACTGTGGTACAGGGTATTATGTCTTTGTGCATATGTTTGTAACAGGCAAAAATAATCGAGATAGACACATGGTTCCTTTTGAGAATATGCATAGAATCACTTTCTAAGTCGATTTATGCATGTCCGTCCGTCCGTCCGTCCGTCTGTCCGTCTGTCCGTCTGTCCGTCTGTCTGTCCATGTTAAATTGTAAACAAAGTACAGGTCGCATTTATTATCCGAATTGGATGAAATTTGGCATAGGTCACTTATTCG